TATATATATATATATATATATATATATATATATATATATATATATATATATATATATATATATGAGATCTTATCTTTTTTGTACACTAACTTGAGAAAATGCAGATAAAGTAACAATAGGTCAGTGTTATGTGATATAAACATTTTTCTGACCTTCTGTCTTTCATCTTTTATGTCATATATACTGACTATTGTGTATTATCAATAGGCAGTATTAATATTGTGTGTGTTATGCAATTATGATGAGCTATTAGCCCTCTTTTTTCCCCTGTTCCCTTAAGACGTAGTGAGATAATTCGAGATGATGTATTATTATATGCTACATGAACTTGCCCTACCTCCAAGTCCTCGGCTGTATCCGGACGCCCAGTCCTCAGCTCGTGTGTTTCCGGACTGCGGGTTAAATCCCCGCCCGCTTCATTCCTGCGTTGTTTGGGGACAGTAGGAAGATGGCGGCGGCCCCGCTGTACTGTGTCTGCCGGCAGCCCTACGATGTGAGCCGGTTTATGATCGAATGCGACATCTGTAAGGACTGGTTTCACGGCAGGTAGGTCCATTAAGATGTATTTTACGGACATGGCTTGGATAAGGCGACAAACAGCGGCTGTTTAGCGGCTAAAGCCGACGGTTAGTCTCTGTGCGATGCTGACTAGAGGCTACGTTAGCTTGCTAACACCAGCGGTGGGCGACGGGGGTTTTAAATCGTCTATTGACACGATTTGAGGAGCGAAAGTGCTGTTGTGTTGTCTTCCATATCGTTTTGGGATTAAATGTCTTTTCACCTAAATAATCTATATGAACCGAGGTGAGCTTACAGCTGTAATCCAGCCTCACAGTTAACGTTATTAAGTTATTTTGAGTGGTTCTGTTTGAAGCGCTGTGTCAATCAGCGCCAGATCAAAAGCTTAACTAAGCAACCAGAACCTGCAAAGCCCGGATATTTAAAAAAAATAAAGATACGCATTGATTTATAGAATAAAAAGTTAAAAAACCCATTGAGTTTTTTTTTTAAGTCTAATCAGCTTATCCAAATTGAAATAAACCTCAGAGTTCACTTTAAACTTAGATACCCCCATATCCCATAGTTTGTGCTTGTTTTTAAACTGGATGTTATATTATTTTCTTACCCAACATATGTATCAAGATATGTTTTTATTTTCCATTTATAAATATACTTTCTGGTATTTTTTAACTTGTATATTTGAGAACAAGAGATTTGTTATGGTTGGGCTTTTGATTGACAGCTGGAGAAATTTAAATCCCTCTTTCAAGCATAGGAGCCACATGGCAGGAGACCCCTAGTGGCTGACATTAGGAAAATTTAAAGGAGCCAGAGCATGTACTTGTCCTTAGATTACTCCTGGAACTCTTTGTCCTACTTATTGCTTTTCTTTTGATTTACTATTCTCATTATGTTCTCAGTTGATTTATCTTTGCGTGACATTGTGATATGATTCATATTGTGTGGGTGTTGGCTGTGATCTTGTGAGTTTATTGTTGTGTAATATGAGCCCATCATCTCTACTCTTGCTTTCCACAATTTCATAAGTTAGTTATTCACGCTCTGGTGCACATCTGATCTTTTTATAATCTTAGGCTTTGAAATCTATGGAAGAGGATTAGGGCCACTGGAAAAAAAAAAAAAGTTAACTGATTTT